CGTATTGAAAATAAGATCGATCAATTAGTTGGTGAAATAACTATTAAACGATATAGTTGTAAATTTTGTTGCCACTTAAGTTTTTCAAGATCAAATTAATTCGATATACAATTAACTCTATATCGTTATCGAACCGATTGTTCTGAAAGAAGAACGAGCTTTCTCAAATATGAGTCAACTCTTTCTGTATCGAACGTACGTATACATTACAATATAAGTTACAATAGTACTTTAAATTACTTACTATACAGTGAACTTTTTTCCCACATTTAGTAGAGTAAGTTGACAAATTTAAAAAACTAAAAAGGATAAATTAGCATTAGAAACGTAATACCATTACATTTGACACTTCTCACGAATAGATTAGCACATGCATCATCAACAAGCCGTGATTGGGTAAAATAGAAAATTTTAAATAATATATAATTTAGTATCGTTTTTTTACGCACCATTTAGTTCCTCGTGTTTAATAAATTTTAATTGCATTATATAATCGAATGTTTTTAGAGATAGTACAACATAATTAAACTGTATACTTTAATATTCTGATTTCCCATGGGTGTTTGATAATAAATACAATGAATGTTTTAAAGAAGGCGTCAATGGTCTGCATTACAATGGCAAAATAACCAGATATGCTTAATGTTTTTCCAGAAATTTTGAGTGCTTTGTTTAGTCACAACAAACGTTTAGATACGCCTAGTTATTGCAGTGTACATTTTAACCGAAAAGTGGGAAATCTGCTTAATCATATGAAAATTTTACATTGAAATACGGTGCTCGCTTCACCAAAAGTTCATTTAACCGACATCACATAGGGTTAGGTTAGCATTTGATAAGTTGCGGGTATAATATTTTAATAACTTGTCGCTTGGCGTGATGTCAGTTAAATGGTCGAAGTAAGGTGGATCCGAAATTACGTTGGTGGGCTGCAGACGGACAGGCAACAGCATGAATTACCAAAATACCCGAAAAGTCGTCTCATTTTAACCCAGCCCCATTAATTTATATAAAGGTTTTTGCAAAAATGGTATCTAGTTTTATAAACTTTATTTGAAGGTAGAAAATAATAGATTATTTAGTGTAACTCATTTTGTAATGCTTCAGATTGGTAATATACTTTTAACCCATCGAAAATAGTTTGAAGTGATTCTCCATTTAGCACGTTGTCCAATTCGTGCAATGTCAAGTTTATTCGGTGATCAGTTACACGATTCTTATCGGGAAAGTTAATATATTAGTCATTAATATTATCAAAAAAAAAAAAAAAAACACACAGTCAGACTCCCTAAATGCATATCTTACGAAATGCCCCTTAAATGCTTGTCATCACTTGGGGCCTAACTAATATTATGCTTATAGAGTTTTATCTCAATGCCTCACTAAACGCATATTTAACCAAATTTTTACATATGCAATATATTTAGAGAATTCTGACTGTATTATGGTCTATATATATTACCTGAGCAAAATTATATGTCCTAATTTTTTCAGATCTATCACCAGTTCCTACCTAGACGATTAAAACGATCAAGACACGTCAATACAAACATGTCTCTGAAATCAAGAATATGAATTATTAGTTATATACAACCTGTTGACGTCTTTTCTCACTTCTTTCCTGATGTAATTTGTTACGTTCCATATCATATAATCTCGCACGTAAAATTTGAAGTGCTTTCGCTTTGTTCTAAACAAAGCAGAATAATTGGATCAAAAAAATATTTCCAATAATTCAATATATATATATATATGTACTTTTGGCTGTGATCGCTCATCTTGGATCGCAACTACACATCCAGTTGGAATATGTGTTATCCTAACAGCGCTGGAAGTTTTGTTTACATGTTGTCCTCCTTTACCACTTGCTCGATAAAAATCTATACGAAGGTCATTTTCTCGTATATTCACATCAGCCTAAAAAATTATACATAAAAATAATTATAAAATATATATACAAATATTATAAGTATTATTGGAGAGAAGGAATAGTAAATACTTCTGTTGGTTGAGGCAATATAGCAACGGTCACTGTACTTGTATGTACGCGACCCGCGTTATCTGTAACAGGAACACGTTGAACTCGATGTACACCTGATTCATATCTCATATTTCCGAATACACCTCTTCCAGAAATTGAAGCGGTCGCTTCCTAGATTAGCATTATCTTTGATTCATAAGAATTGCCGAGTTATTGAAAAATATAAGAAATCAATTAATAATACCTTTATGGCACCAATTGCAGATTCCTCAACAATCGACAATCTCTCAAATTTCCATTTACGCAAAAAAGCATAACGCTCATACATATTTAATATATCCGCAGCAAATAATGCAGCTTCATCACCACCCGATCCTTTTAATTTAAAATTTAGAGATGAAATAGAAATAGCCAAGAGAGTAAATAACAAAGAGAATAATAAAAAATGAATATAAAAACTAACCAGCACGTATTTCAAGGACAGCATTTCCTTGATCAGCAGAATCTTTTGGAATTAAAGCAGATACAACAGACTGCTCTAGACGGTTTAATTTCTCAATGATTTCTTGATATTCTTCCTGCATTAATTTCTTGAGATCTTCATCATCAGAAGATTCATTAATCATTTTGTCAATTTCTATAAGTTCCTTCAGTATTTATGAAAGTGAATTAGAAATATATTATACGAATAAATAAATAAATGAGATTAGTTTGGATAATGATCCCTACATATTGAGCTTTTCGCATTTCCTGATAGGGAACAATTATAGATGATATATCTGATAATTCTTTAGATTTACTTGCAAGAACATCAGGATCTATAATTTTTGAAGACTTAATAAAAAAAATAATCATCGATTAATGTTTTTATGATAATATGTTGCGTAAAATATTTAGTCACCTGATTATCAAGCTCTTCTGACAGAGCAGAGTGACGAATTATTAAACCTTCTAGCCTTTCTCGAACTTTACTGTTTAATAAAGAATCTTTGAATAATGACTCTTGAGTAATAGATACTACTTAAACCATTAAAATAATATGAATATATAAATATGTTTATATAACATGCATTAAACGCAAAAATATTGAATATTATTGACCCATCGTTATTGAAATTTGTATGAGGTTTTTAATAACGCATCATAAGTGGTTTAATACTTTCACTCATTGAACCTTCTTTAAGCGAAATAAAGTTCTGCGTGTCCAGAATAAGTTAAAGTCGAGAAAATTGAAAAACTGAAATTTATGTTGATGTTTAAGAAGTTGAAGACACCAGAAGAGTTGAATGAAGCAAAGAAGCTCCTAGTTAACGCTACCATTATTAAATCCACTACTACCATCAGCAATTACTGTAGGAGCCGCAAAACAAATTCTACTGTATAAAAACTAAATAAATAATATAATAATTTTAATTATAAATAGGTTAAAACAGAGTAAAGAAATCGCCGATTCTTCATCTAAAGCTACTAAACGATGTGCACTAGAAAATCTTTTTTCTAAAAATTAAACTGATTGAAAAGACAAGAGTTTGTAAAATATTTACTTAAGAAAAGTCGACTGCGAAAAAGTTGTTTACATTGCTCAATGGAAAAAAAATAAGACGACTAACTTGTAAAGTAAAAAATGAATTAGGAATTAATATTTATTATAAATAAATATGCTTTAATTCTCTCGCTGAAGTATTAATCGAAAGGCTCATATGACGGCGTATGATATTATACGACAAAATACTATGTCGTAATGCAATGATATTATTTTGCAACAATAAGTCAAATAACAATGTACTAATTTTTTTAATAACGATGGTTCAAATGGGTCAATAACAATGTTTTTGCGCATTTAACAAAAAAAAAAAAAAAAAAAAAAACCTGAAGAAAAACATTTTGATATAAATTGTGATGTTACAGGCAAACGATTCGAATGTTTAAAGCGTAAAGGGATACTGGTATGTGATAAGATAAGATAAGATAGAGATTTTTGCAGAGAAAATAGTCGAGACCTCATTGTAAAGCATATACACGCGTTGACGTTAAAAAAAATTTTTGATGAGATGAAATGATCCCCCGATCACCATCATCATGTTGAGATCACGGGGAATAATTATTACTAAATGAACGTACATCCACATACAATGTTTCTATTGTCGCCCCGAAGTTGTCGGAGATAGAATGCAGGATTTGGAATTTAATATTGACTGTGGATAAGTCATGAAGGTTGAGGACAATGAGCCATTACATAATTAAGGGCATGGAGAGTTTTCGGAGGTAGGGGAATATTGTTCATAGTCCGATTCAGTCCGAGTGATTCGGGTAGAATAGCAGTATGTGATACAAATATCCCCTTTAAATAATTCCAATGTTATTGGACTTAAATTGTCTAATTATTATTTATTTTACTGTTTTACTGTTAACCCCAATGCACTTCTATTTTATCGTTAAAGGCAATCATGATTTGTAAGACTGGATTCTTTCATGTGAAAATTATTTATAATAATTACAATTCCCTACCTTTACTTAAACATTCGTACGTACGGTAAAACAAGTTATCAGTTATCTGATTATCTTTAGTGAAATTGAAATTTATTTATTGAAAATGTCAGATACCTGATACAGTCCAAAAAAGTAACTGGTTTGCTGCTGTGTAGCATCTACGCGGGTAATTTAGAGTATCTTATTATCGCTATCGTTACGGTTTAGTTCCGAATTTTTGATATCTTTCACTGCACAGACAATGTACGTATGCACAAGCTCCGTAAAATCTCTTTAAATAGAAACAAAATTTTTTATTCGCTCACTAATAATTTACACGAATATGCACATTAAATATGCATACGCATATGCACATCAGATGAACGCAAACTTTGCAGCCAAAATTTCGGCAAATATTAATTTATTCAATAAGCACCAACTTCTACCAAATGCTTCCGTTCATTTACTGTTACTAGTCCATTCCTAATATTCGGGATTTAACAAATCCAGAAAAATCTCGATTTTTCGTGAAAATTACTATTATAATGGTAAAATTAAATCTTTGTGTTACAATTAGTACTTCGTTAAACCCGGTTCTACAGTTTAAAAAAAACCTCATGATTAAATAATTTGTCAGTTATTTGTCAAAAGAACAATATTTATTTTTATAAACAAATTTTGATATGATAATATTTTCAGCCCAAAATGCCAAAATGTTAATCATCACATTATGACTATATAAACTTGTATATAGTTATTTACCTATAATTTGATTGTCTCTGACTACGTATAAATCAACTGGTTAGATATATTACTGTACAAAGGATATATATAAATATATATATATAAATATATATATATATATATATACTGTATATATTGTTATATTGTTATATATATTGCAATTTAGGTTATGCGCCATAAAATGAATTTGATAATCATTACTGAATAAAGATACTAATACATAGTATACGTATATTTTGTGTATTTATAAACTGGTAATTTTACTGTATATATATAACTGTTAAAAAAGATCCAAAACTCGCTTAGAAATTTTCGATCCTTTTTTTTTAAAAAAAAAAAAAAAATTTTTTTAAAAAAAGTAAAATCTTTAAAAAATAAAAAAACTAAAATTTATCGAGTGAATAAATGAACAACCAGAATTTTAATTTAACTGAACAAAAGCAAATAAACGGAGATAAAGATTACTTTTACAAAGACTTGTCCTTAAAGAGACAAAGATGTGAAAGTAAAGATTCGTCTTCAGAAGAAGACCAATCGATGAAGACAACATTCACTGGATTTTCAGAGTGTTCTATGGAGCAAGGAGAGACCGAGACAAAAATCAATCAACCTACTATTCATAATGATGCTGTGTCGGTAGCAATGCAAATGACACACGAACCCGATATATCTACTGTTCCTGGTTAGATTTTCCTCTTAAATCGTCTATTTGATTTTTATTTGATTTTTTTTATAAAATATCAATAATTCATTTTTTTTTTGTACATAGATTTATCGCAGGTTCTTGTGATATATACGGGTGGTACTATCGGCATGAAAAATACTTATCTTAATGGATATATTCCTGTATGTTTTCAATTTTTATTTTATTTTATTGTTATGCAGATTCATTTTGTCTCTTTAACACTTTTATTTATAATCTTCAAATAAGGCGCCAAATTATTTTACAAATACTTTGGCGGAAATGTCCCGATTTCATGATCAGGAATACTTTGATAAGACCCTGAAACAGTATGATCTGAACAATGAGGATGAAGAGTCTCAGTATACTACCAAAATTTTTATTAAAGATTATTGGGGTATTGAAGAGTCAGGAATATTAAGTATTTCGAGTAGAATTTTAGTGACTCCACCTTCTTTTCAAGGAAAGAGGATAAAGTAACTGATCTAAAAGTGTTTGTGTTTTGTTTGCTTTTAATAGTTATCAAATAATCTAATAATTGACAAATATATTAGATATTCCATAGTTGAATATGAACCATTATTGGATTCATGTAATATGATAAGTGATGGTAAATATATATTTCGAGATTTTGTTATAATAAATTTATTTTTAAAATTTTCTTAATCATATATCTCTTTAATTTATTTAAAGACTGGGTTAGAATTGCTACTGACATTGAGCTAAACTATCAATCATTTGATGCTTTTATAATTTTACACGGTATGCTAATTTTTAGTTGTTTTTTTTTTTTTCTTTACTCTTTAATGTTAAATAGCTTTTTTAATGCTTTAATATATACGATTATAGGAACTGATACTATGGCTTATACTGCTAGTGCACTTAGTTTTCTGTTGGAGAATTTGGGGTATCTTGGTTTTTTAGCATTCTGATGTATATATTGAAATTTTAAAATTAAAAATTCAATAATTTTACCGTTTATTACCATCGGTTTGTACAGAAAGACTGTAATTTTAACTGGTTCTCAGGTATGTGAAAAATATTTCCTACTATGAAAAGCAATCACGATTAAATTATAAATATAAACGTGTTGGTGTATAGATCCAAATTATTTATCCAAGATATTTGATTTAAAAGACGCTATTTTGGAATTCGCTGAACGTAGGTTCCGATATCTGAAGTTCGAAATGATGCCGTCGAGAATTTACTCGGTGCGCTTACGATTGCCGGTCATTACGTAATTCCCGAGGTTTGTTTATTCTTCAACAACAAACTATTTCGTGGCAACAGAGCCGTCAAAATGAACGCTGTAGAATTTAATGCATTTGACTCGCCAAATTTGTCTCCATTGGCTACAGTTGGAATAAATATTCGTATGTTATTTTTCTTTTTAACTTTATTACCCTCTTAAATTTTATTATTAATTACGTTTTTAAATTCTATTTTTATATAGATGTAAATTGGGGTGAAATTGTTCGTCCTTCGGCAATTTCAAAATTTCTTGTACACAAGAATTTAAATCGAAATGTAAGCAATCTACGATTATTCCCGGGTATAACAGAGTCCACCGTACGTGCCCTATTAGCCCCACCAATTGAAGGTGTAATATTGGAAACCTACGGTGCTGGAAATGCGCCAGATACTCGGGACGATATTATGCGTACTTTGAATGAAGCCGCAGCCCGAGGCATTGTGATTGTTAATTGTACGCAATGCAAAAAGGGAACTGTAACCGATATTTATGCTACTGGCAAAGCGTTGGCTAAAGTTGGTGTTGTGCCGGGTAATGATATGACTCCTGAGGTTAGTTGAAATTAATCATGATTAACTGATATTTAAGATTGTTTGTGTTAAACCAATATTTTACATTCGTTATTCTTTTTTTTTTTTTTTAAAAAAAAGTGTGCTCTTGTGAAACTCTCATACTTACTTGGTTATCGGAATGAGTTAGGCGAAAAATATTCTCCAGACGCTGTTAGAGTGTTGATGACTAAAAATATGAGGGGTGAACTTACGGTTTTGGCGCCAAAACCACGATATACATTTCATAATCGAACTCATAAAATTATTCAAAATATGATAGGTAGAGTAGGAAACGTCTCATCCTTTTTTCAAAAGTTTTTTTCTCAAAAAAATAATTCTTATTTTCATAAAAAAGCTGCTGCTGTGGATTCTAGACAAGGCTCGCTAGATTCCGCGTTAATGATAAACGTTCAAGAAAAAGTCTTATTAGAAAAATCTTTATATCCAATTCTGTTATGTTCAGCAGCTGGAACAGACGATTTAGAAGGATTACAACTACTGTGGGATAGTTATGACGGATTGGTTTTAAATTGCATCGATTACGATGGTAGAACTCCATTGGTAAGAAATTAGTATTTATATCTTGTTTTTCAAAACCAATTTCAATTTTTTTACTTTTTCCTTGTTTCCTAACATAGCACATCGCATGTACTGGAGGCTATCATAAAATTGTAAGGTTCCTATTAGAACACGGCGCATCTGTCCATATGCGTGATAGATTTGGACATACTCCGTTATATGAAGCTGCAAGGAATAAACGTCGAGATGTGATTAATATATTGAGGGAGGCTGGTGCGCATTTTAACGAATCCGAACTTGACGATGTGATGTTCCAAGTTTTATCGTAAGTTTTAAAGGCAATTCATAATTCACAGTGATTATTTTAATATTTTATAAAAAAAAAAATCTGTAAAAAAAGATTGTAATAATTAATAATTAAAATTTAATCTACTTTTTTTTCATATAGAGCTGCTGCAAAAGGTGATCAAGAACTATTGAACCATTTTGTAGATGCTGGTATGGATATAAATAAAACTGGATTTGATCATAGAACTGCATTACATCATGCTGTTGCTGAAGGTCGTGTTAGTACCGTGCAATATTTATTGTCATTACCGCAGATTAAGGTCGAAACTAAGGACAGGTGGGGTAGGAAACCTATTGATGATGCAGAAACAAATTTAGGACGTATGTGGGGGCGAGATGGTAATAGAATGAAAGAATTAGAAGAGATTGTAAGAATGTTAAGAGAGAAAGTAGATAAGTCGGAGGATTATCCGTATTAATGAATAGTTTAAGATTAAGCAGTGACTAAATGAGTTGATTAAAAGAAAGTGGAAACACCCCTTAAAAATATATATAATTTTTTTTTTTTAATTAATTAATTTAGAAGGTTACAAATAATTTGACACTATTGTGAAATTTCTCTTTTAATTTTTTCAACTATAAGTCTATTAAATACCCTCATAACTTTTAGAGTGGGTAATTAGATATAAATAGATCCGCATAATAAACGTTGTATGCAAAATCTTAATTGTGTATACAATTATTATAAATTGACAACAAACAAATTATCTTGACAATTTAATAATTAATATTTATATGTTGCAGAATGTTATATTTGACATATTAATTAGCTAATTACGTAATATATATACAATATAATAATAAATCGATTTTCAAAAATCTTTTAGATCAATCTTTATATAATTTTTGTTACTAATATTCTATCACTTATTAACATATTCTGGCTTGGTTACAATGTTCGATCAAAGAATTTAATAACTATTGCCAACAGATTATATTTAAAGAATCTTTCTAAAATTTCTCTTTTAAATTTAAAAATGCCTTGATGTTGATAACATGGATTAGCGCCACACACATCGGATGGAAAATTTGGATGAAATAGATGGCTACCCGAAATATTCCGGATAGCTTTGGTTAATGACATAATCTATATATCCGAAAACTCGGTTCGGATCCAAGTATGGATTAGATCAATATTTTATAAAATAATTTCCTCATGATTAGTTGCGATAGTGTTTCTCAAAATATATCAGATCAAATTTGGATTTACTGAGAATCATATATGTCATAATTATTAAAGAAATCGTTATTTTATCTTTTTAGCATTTGAAGTTTCTTTTTACAAAAACTAAACCGTTTATATATATTTGATTTTTAATTAAATATATTAATAGCAAATTAGCTATATAGTTATATATATATATATATTAGGGAAATTTACTATTTTTAAGAGCAAGGTCTCGCCTTAAATATTAAAAAAAAAAAAAGAAATTTACTATTTCCACCATTGATCGTAATTTATCGTAACAATGTTCGTCATTTATATATAGCTAAAAGTCATGTGAAAAACATGGTGGAAATAAACGTTTATATAATTTATAATAATTTATTTTTAGAAAATATATACAGTATCGGTATATAATATCGAATAGCAAATCATATTAATATTAATATTAATATTTGTTTTATTTTTGTAATAAATTTAGTATACAGTATAATAAAAAAATTATTTTATGTTATATACTTTATTTAAAATTTTGTTTAAAAGTATATTTTAATATTGTATAATGCAGAAGGTTTTGAAAGATACTAAACAATATTTAAATATATTGTTTAATATTTTTGTATTTTTTAACTCTTTTAATATCTACAATACTATATAATATGTATTAAATTAATATATTTGTAGCCATAGCTACATGTAACTATTTTATTATTAGATTAGAATTAGGGTTAGAGTTAAGATAAGATTGCAAAAAAAAACATTTTTATTTAGTTATATATAATAGGGTTATATTAATAAAATTTTAAATTAAAATTATAAAAAAACTGGAGAATAAAAGCCTATAGTACAAAATTTTAATAATACTATTGTAAATGCTAAATTTAAAAAAAGAATTACATTAAGAGATGTAGTGACCTAGTGTAGTGGTCTAGGCGTGGTCACCTTCACCAAGTGGCAGGTCTAGAGTTTGAATCTCATAGATGACGATTTTGAAAAATAAATCTGCGTTATAGTTAACAGTTGTTGATTATCAGTTGGATCTAGAAATCTGTAATCTTAGTCACACCATCTAGTAATGAAAGCTTTGGCACAATAAATCTGAGGAACCAGAATAACCAAAAACCTGTTTGGCAAGTCCTGAGTTGGGATGTAGCAATGATCTTTGACGGTATTACAGAAGGGCTGAATTTGAACTGGGGTCGAAATCAGAGAACTAAGCGACCAGGTTCTAAAATGGCGGAGGACACACCAACTGAACCACCAGGTTGTCACATCAAAGGAAAAGGGCATACACTCCGAAAGTATGGACCAAAAGAAGGGTGTCCTTCAGGCACCTAAAGCCTGGGTAGACAGATCCATCCAAGTTGCTAGCTAGAAGTAAGGAAGGGACCAGTAAAGAATCCGAGTAAGAAGACGGTTCTAAATATGGGTACTGGGGTTGTTGGGAACCTTACAAGAGCAGGAGTATGTAATGGGTAACTAATTAGAAAGATTGTACTTGAGATATGGATTGGGTTATGGTAGCATTCCAAAAGTTGGCTTGAGATACAAACCTGGTGGTGGCAGTACAACAAGAACTAGTTAGATAAGAAGTTACTGAACATGCAAGTGAATATATGTGTAGGACATGGACCACTCTGTTAGGTTTACCTCGTGAATAGACTAGCTTTAGATAGTTAGTAAGTCTTAAGGTGGGTGTGAAATCTACAGGTGTCGCAAAAGCTACAACCGAATAGTAAGTTACATCTTGGTTAGGTAGAAGTAACTGACAGTTAGGACCAGAGAGTTTAAATAGGTACCCTCTAGTTGGGGTGCAAATATGGCAGATAGTGTAGAACCTTCAGGCGGACTATTTAAATTAGATACTCAAAAGATGCACATGTGGCTTGATATACCCTTATTGTAATTGTATAACATTATATCTACTTAATAAAAAGTCCCTGGCCAGAAAAGTCACTTTAATACCCAAAAAAAATAATAATAATAATTACATAGACAAATGCTAGTTAGGGTCCTATAGCCTAGTGGTTTAGGCATCTAACCCTCTACAAACAAGATTGATAGTTCAATTATAGTTGGTAGTAATTAATTGAATTAATTATCTCTATAACTTTTAGGAGCTTTTGAATACAGAACCCTGTGGCAGTAAGACCATGTGAAGTACATATTTGGCTGATAAAGAATTCTTGGAAGGAGTCCCAAGCCATGAAGAAGATTGGGTACTGCATGTGACATGGGTCACAGAAGATAATACTGCAGAAGGCTGTGCGTGTGAATTTACAATTGGCAAGGTAGTACCAACAACACTAAGGTGGCATTGGGATCTTGATTGGAAGGATGGCTATATACAATATATCCAAAAGTGGTAAAAGAAGCAATAAACATAGTAAGGGGCTGTGGTAAGTTAATAGCTTTACCAGATATAGAACACCTCAGGCGCAATAAAGAAACAAGGAAAACTGGTTAAAAGAAACTTCAAAAAGCATGGAAGCAAGCACCCTAGTAGTACGAACATAAAGCCGGCTAGTGAATAATAGTTGTACAACCTATATAGAAGTCTATGACAAAACACAGCAGAAGCGTAGGTCTCAGATTACTGCTTTGTAGCAGTAATTAAATGAGATACTTAACTCCCATTCTAAGGATCTAAACTTCTATATCACCATACCAATAGGAAGTACTATAAAGGGTGATAGCCTAATTAAGTGATGTATGACGTGAATACCTAGAACCATGTGAACAGCTCTTCTAATAGTGGCTTGAGATATGGGTCTTTGGACGGCAACAGCATCTGGCTTGAGATATGGATTAGGATTTGAAGTAATATCTCGAGAAATACCAAGCTGGAAGCAAGAAGAGTGCCCACTTCTAGAACACCAATTTGGAAGTTATACAAAAAACAAATTAGGAGTAATGTGATAAGTGATAAAGAATAAATTATAACTAGTAGACATTGTACAGTAGTATATATAGCAGGATATATATAAATTGGTAAATATATTAAGGTTCTGAGTTAAAATCAGAATTTAGGATACTTCTTGATAAAGGTTTCCAAGGTAGTACATCTCACATATGAGATGGTGCAAACAGTTGCATCTGAGTGCCATATAGGGTAGCCAGGTGAGGTCATAATGACTATTTAGTTAGATAGTTAAATATAATAATAAAGTTAATAGCAAAATCATTGAAGTTAAAAAAAAAAAAAAAAAAAATTACAAGGGCAAATAAATTAAATACAAAATAGCAAAGAACTAATATATTAACCAAACTACTAAGTTTTATTGTTACTATATATATATAAAAAAAAATATACACAAAAATTTCATTCAACTCTTTCTGATGATCATTTGTACCAAAAATTTCCAAAAAACTTTTACTAAGAAAAAATATAAACAGCTATACTAGATATAATAAGACATGCGAAAAGGGATCTTAGAACAGCAACTAACATTTAGAAATAGTTTTCATAAACTATCTGCTGACAAGTTCAGAGTTTATCACTCACTGAGAAAACTTAGTAGTGTGCAAGTTCTGGTGTGGCTTTATTTGATTCTAGTAAAAGAAACTTATATTTTTTTATTTTGTATACAAGTGGTTTTTTTTTCTTTACTCCACCTTTCTGCTACTCTTACAAAAATATTAACAAAAAGTGAGCATTCTAGCTTACCCTCTCCAAAAGATCGGTATTGTTTACACTTTCCATTTTCAGACAAACAAAGTAGGACATAAACATGAGATTGTTTTGGCAATAATAACCTACATCACATGATAAACCAATTAGCGCTTTGGTTAATGAACTGACTCAGACCGGATAGTAAAGTCAAAAAAAATTTTAACAATAAGGCTTAGCTTTACAATAGAGATATACAAAATTTTAAATTTAGTATATAATTTTTACAACTTGTGCTTGGCATGGGCTATAATAGTGCTTTCATAGATTGTTTTTTTTTTTGCCTTTTTCTTCTTGTTTTATTTGTTTCATTTTTTCATTTTTTTGTTGCTTAGGCAGTTTTTTTTATTTTTCTCTTTCGTGTCATTCTCTTTATCTTTTTAGTATTAGTTTTTTTTCATAAGTTAGTTGAAGACTATGAATCCTTCTGCTCGCGAAGCTAGGGGAAGAACGTTTAGAAAAGATGGCAGTCTTAATAGGCCATAAATACCATTTAGTGATGTATTAAAAAATTTATTTGCAGGGTTTTTTGGTATAGAGATAAACATTTACTATAGCAGATTGAATATAGGTATTCACTTGAGAACAACCGGGTTAGCGAACACTTGTAATTTAGGTAGGCTTAAGGTGACTTGAGTCATAATTGATATTTTACCCGTGAATTTAATATTTTATTCTAATAAAGTGTTAGCAAGATTGCCAAATTTTTTTTTTTAAAAAAAAAAAAAAGAATATACAATAGTTTAGTACTACATATTAAAAACAAATTATAGTTTTTTTAAATTATCTAAATTAAAAGTTTAAGAAAGCTTGTGAATAGAATATTAAAGTATTAAAAATATACTGTAAAGTAATATTGTATTTATAGCATAATAAGTAAGAGTAGTGACAAATATTATGTAATATTTTTTTAATATACCCTTACTCCTCTCTCCCTATGTAAAATAGTTGCAAAACCGAGTATATATATTACATACTTTCTAAACTGTAACCCAATATCTATTCAAACAAATTGCAAGATATATTCAGCTAAACTTAATATCTGTGCTTTATTATTTTAATTATACAAATGATATAATAAAAGTTAGAAATATATGATAAATTAATACTAATTTAAGTCAAAGCTACCTTTATTTTTTATATACTCTTTCTATTCATATTCCCAGCACATATTTCATTTAAACTAATATATGATTATTCATGTTGCAAAGAATTTAGAATGTTCTATATACTAATAATGTTTCTAGATATACATATGATCACTAGCATAGTTCAAAGGAGCTAACCTTAAAAAAAAAGCAATTAAAGCAATTATTAAAATAAAATAATTAATTAATCCAAAATAAATTAATGCGAGATTATTTGCCAAATTGTATACTTAAATAAGTTAAGTGGCTCTCCATTAACAATTAAATAATGATAGTAAAAAGGCAAATCAATACAAAAAAAAAACCTGTTAATAAAAAATTGATCAATAAAGATAATTAATTCAGATATTAATAGAAATATTATATATATAAAGAATATTCTTTTTTCACAAGTTTTTCTTGTTAATAGATTAGATCTTGTAACTCCAAATTTAATCAAAATCTCTAAAAATATATAAAAAATATTAATAAAATTAAGAATGTATTATTATTTAGAAAATTGTTTTTAAACATAACATTATGAAGAATACAATTATATTATAAATAAGCCAAATATTTCTTGCAAGTTCAAAGTTTAATAAAAAGCTTATTTACAAAAATTTGAAGTCAAAATATAAAAACTTTACTAATATATATATATATTACTATATGGTTGAAAATAAGAAACCAAATCTTGCAAAAAAAACTCTTTCTGACGATCATCTAGACCACCACTTCCCAAAAATTTTTTACAAGAAAAAACACCGGATGTCGAGGCACTTCAATGAAAT